ACTTTTGGCTTCATGCAAGGAAAGCAGCAGAAGTCTTTCTTTCTCTCCCCCAAACTCTGCCAGAAATGAGTCTTTGTGAGATTTGTCACGCCGGCATAGTCACTTGGAGCAAGATGCCTTGCAGGATCCCAAAGACTCATTTCTGGTGGATTTTTGGGGAGAGAAAGAAAGACTTTTGTTGCTTTCCTTGCATGCAGCCAAAAGCAGAAGAAGAATGAAGTGGAAAGAAGCAGCCCAGTGGCTAGGCCAGGTGCGTGGGGCAAGTCCCCTCCCCTTCCGCCCTTTCCCCCCTCCCCTCACTACCTCGTGTTGTTCGCAATGAAAGGGACACAAGCCATGTGTTTCCGTGGGCCATGTGGGCAGCACAGCCGTGTGTTCCCACGCAGCCTAGATTAATTGCTTTGGGGGGTGCTTTGGGGGCGACATTTCTCTGTGGACCACCAAAATTTTCTCGCGGACCACAAGTGGTCCCCAGCCCACTAGTTAGCGACCACGGCATTAGAACATTCTTTTTTTCTTTTTTTATTCTAACCCAGGCTCTCCGAAACCACTTCTGGTGGGAAGGCTGGGGAAAATGAAATCCAAAATCTTGTGTGCCGTTCACTGGCACTTTCACGCAGCCAGGAGCCCATTTACACTGAAGACTTGAGTGTAAGTATCTGTTACATTCCCATGGAACCTGTGTGTCCTTGGTGCTAAGAGAGAGTACAAGTGGTCCTTGATCGATGATGGTAATTGGGACCTGAATCTCTGTTTCTAAGCAATACCTTTGTAAACTACAATCCTCTTGCTTTGTGACAACAATCCCTACAGTTATAGCTGTTGTCAATGACTGAATCTCATAGTCATTAGGCAAGACAACGTCCTACAACCAAAGACAGTACAAGTTGAGAAGGAAGTTACAATCCCAAGCCTGTTGCAGGGTAGATGCCTGCTGCCAGATGGAGGAAAGAACAAGGGAGTACTCTGGGGTGAGGTGGAAAGGGTGTGCCAGAGGCAGGGCACGAAAGTGCAAGGGAAGGTCGGTTAGGGTGCAAAGGTGTGTGCAAGAGGCATCTTAGGGGATTAGGGGACTGGAGGTTAAGAATGTAAAGAACAGTTGCTGGAATTCGGTATGTCCAGTTTTTAATGAAAAGAAGGACTAGGAGTGACATGATAATAGTGTTTCAATATCTCAGGGGTTACCACAAAGAAGAGGGATTCAAGCTATTTTCCAGAGCACCTGAGGGCAGGACAAGAAGCAATGGGTGGACACTAATCCAGGACAGAAGCAATCTAGAACTAAGGAGAAATTCCCTGACAATTAAAACAATCAGTGGAGCAAGTTGCCTCCAATATGTTGTGGATGATCCACACTGGAAGTTTTTAAGAGGAGATTGGACAACCATTTGCCTGAAATGGCAGAGGGTTAACTGCCTGAGCAAGGTCCCTTCCAACTCTGTTATTCTTTTCTATTCATCAGTCAGGGAGGTTGCTCAAAGGTGTGAGGAGGTATGTGAGAAGTGTGCGGTGGGTGCACATGAATCTAAGGGTTTGCACAAGAGGAATCACCACAGCGGTTGGTGAGAGTGTGCAAAATAACACCATGTGCAAGTAGCTGGCATAGCACAAGCACAGAATAGCTATGGAACGATGATGTACAGATGGGAGAGACCCCTGTGACCTTCCCTGCCAGCTACTCCATTGACTTTCTGGGGAAGCTGGCAGGGAAGCTGATAAATGGCAATCATTTGAAGGGGTCTAGTTGTAACTCCGAGGACTGGTTATAACCACCATTCGTTCAACGCCATTGTAACTTGGAATGGTCAGTGGCCAAATGGTGTAGGTGGACGACTGCCTCTGTACTGAATGCTTACAGTGGGAGCTTTGCTCTCTTTCCACCCAAGCATTGTGATGTTGCTTTCCTTTAATAGGGCTCTCACTCATCCTTGGGAACAGCCTCTTGCCGCAGCGTGGATTCAGCTCGTCCTATAAGCCAAATTGATAGACACATCCAACTAGTGGTTCATGGAGTGGCACAAGCAGGTAGGCTGGGCACACACTTCTAATCCGGTAACGGATAAGACAGAAGGAAGGAATACCTGTGGAGATGCTGCTGTTGCTGGCAGAAAATAAAAGACGCAAATTTAGAAGCTGTATTCTTGTATATTTCCCCTTAATTTAATAACCTCTTGTGCGTATCTCCATTGTAGCTTCTTTGTTCCAACATTTCCTCTAGCCATATTATAAAGGCACTTTTGGGATCGTGTCACAAGACACACAACGTACTCTAATACATGCAAATATTTGGTCTGGAATTATAACTAATATAGCAACAGCAGGTGAAAGAGCAGAGGAATGGCAGGGCAGATCCCAAAAACAGTAACCTAAATAGGTGACTTGACGGCACTGTAGCAGACCCAAGAGCTGTAGTGGCGTTCAGGTATAAGAAGCTCAGTCTACTACTCCTTTCATAGGACCTGAGATCACAGATGAGCTGGTGAAGGTTCTGCGTAGGCGTCTGGATGAAGCCACCCTGGATATCATCACAGTTATGCTTGTGCGGAACTGCAAACTCACTCCAGCTGATGTGGAGGTATTGGCTGAAGGAAGTACTGAACTTGCTTCCTGAGATTGTTGTAACTTCCAACTGGAGTAATTCCGCCCCCCCCCCCTTAAAATAAGAGCTTTACTCCTTGGTTAAAATCTCCCATCTTGTGGACTTCACGGTCTCAAAAATATTGGACTATTGACACCTATTCCTTCTGCAGTTCATACAACCTCCAGGCAGCCTGCCCACTGAAGTACTGCAATTCACTCTTCCTACTTCATGCCTGCCTTGGCTTCCAGCTGTAGCCTGCTATCTGCGACAGAATCTGCTGATCTTTCTTCACACACCCAAATACACAGACAGCAATGTGGAGAACCATTTCAAGGTAAGTGTGTGGTTACCTTGAACGGCATGCTCAGTTTTTGGAATTGAGTGGACCTCTTTAGGTTGCCAGGTTACGTTGGTTCCAGTCACTGCAAGCAGTTATGCTGGAGGGTAATTTTATGGCTAAAAATAAATGTTTGCTTCACTGCTATATAGTCTCACATTAGACTGAAGATCACCCCAATGATCTGGTAATCCTATTGTATTAAGAAGAGCTACAATTATATATTATTATACTTTTTAAGTGTAATCATTTTAGTTCTGAGGATTTTAAATTCAGCTTTCTTTTGTAAGGAAGCATATCTGAACACTAGCTTGAAGTAACCACCTTTTGTTGCTTTTCAGCACTGCCTGAACCAGAATAGCAGCAGCAACAGTCCTGACTTGGATCTCTATTTATATAATAAGCCAGGAGGTCAAGGCACTGGTGGCAAAGGTACTGTGCATGTCTGCTCCATTACAACAGGATAAAGACTAGAACACACTGTAGCAAATAACTAGAGCACTTTGGAACAGTCTTAAATACATGAGAATAAAGGCTAGTTGGGCTACCAAAAAAGTAGAAGATTCTGTGAAGAGCCATCTATCTCTTGGTTGGTCCATATGAACCAAATTATGAAGTTTCCATGCATCTATACACTGTATCTTGCCATCTTTCCAAATATGTTGTTCTCCAGATGTGTTACCTATTCTTTTAAACAAGCAGAGTCAGTAGCCATGATGGTTATCTGGGTTATTGTCAGAGTGGAAGTATAGTATAACTGGAAGATTAGTAAAGGCAGCTCTAATACTATGTCCCCACTAAGATGGAGAGGCACCGCAGTTGTTGTTGTTTTTTTAAAATCCTCTCTGCCATTAGTGGGTTGTAATTCAGTGAAAGTTGTTGTTCAATACTGACTGCACATTTTCTGATCCAAAATGAAATGGCATGTAGGGGAGGATACAGTATTCTTGAATAGGGGAGCCAGCCTAGCTAGAGATTAAAATATTTCTGCTTGGAACAAGACATTTTCAGTTTTGGCCAATTTATTTAGCTGGTAATGTTGGTTGGTGTTGATCAGTGTCACTTACATGCAGAGAGAATAATGCATGTACTTACACTACTCTTGCCTCCTTTTCCACCTGCACTGTGGTTTGGTTGTGTGGGTAATGCATCACTTCAAAGTGTGTCTGACCATTCTTCTGTCGTGTAGGTTCCATGTTGGATCTTGTGCAGCACCTGTTTCCACCCTCCCGGTTTCAAGGTAGCTTCCTGTAGATACCAGTAGGCCACTGAATTTTTTTCCAGTGCTGCTTCCCATCCTCATTTTTGATCCTATGCCTGCTGTGCTGTTGGCTTTTGCTCTATTCTTTACTGTGTCATCCATGTTTCCTCTTCAGTGTTGTCACCCAGGTCTTTTTTCCAGCTCTTATCCTTTCTTCTTGGTTCCAAGGAAAAGCTTTTTTTTTCCAAGTAAGAATTATTTGTCAAAGTTAAAGAATCCACAACAAAAACAGGAAGTAATGGTGTATTTGGTGGCTTCAGGTGGAGATAGAATAATTATTTTTCTGTTCACATTTAAACCTTTAATCTTGAAACTGTAATGGGAGTAAAACCAGTGGTGGTATTCTACTGGTTTGGCCCGGTTCTGCCAAGCCGGTAGCAATGATGACCGGTTCTCTCCACTGCTCTGCTATTGGGCCCACCCGTTTCCCCGGGCTCCCATACTCACCTTATCTTCTGCTTTTGAAGCGCAGCTGCTTTGCACAGCACAGAAGAGCAGCTGTTGAAGCGACCGGGAAAGTGCAGGCTTGCAGGAGATGAGTTGGAATGCCTCTGCGCCTGTGCAAAGTACGTGTTTGGTGCACGTGTGCACGCAAAGTGGGTGCATGCGTGCAAAGCGCACCCATCAAGCCACACCCACCAAAGCGGTGGTAAATGTTTTTGAATCCCATCACTGAGTAAAACATCATGCACATTTCAGAAGATCTGTATAAATCTATGGAGCATATGCTGCTGTAGGGTTTATTTTGCAAGACAGAGCAACAGACAATTTTCTTCTGTAATCCTGGAATTGTGAAGGGGGATTCCATGATACTCTGGAATAAAGGTGTAAAACTATGCAATAGCTGGAGTGGTCTGACCCTGTAATCCATTTAGAAACAGTCCTAACTGAATGGATTTTATGCTCGAAATCAGAATAAATGCTGAGCTCAGGCAAGACATTTTCCTGGTGACCTGTTTGTTCAGGATCTTAAAACTGCTGAATCAGTGGAAATGGGACTGGACCTCTTGAGTGCCTTCAGTATTGTGCATCTTTTGGAGCAGGTTTTTTACATGTAGATTGTCAGGTGGATTTCTAAGTATTTATGGCAACATTGAGCTTTATGGTTCTATACCTAACAGAGAATAGATGACACTACTAGCTCTTCCTTTATCTTTGTTCTCATGTGGTTGTTGAGTCAAAAACATGATTGTGTTTCAGGCGCGTCAGTATAAAGTATATACTGGGAGTCAATATAAGCTTAAAGGATCTGTTCAGTTTGCTTCCATAAGAGGGCTTATTGCATGCCTGGAATAGGCTCTCTTTCTCTTTCCTAGGCATGGTTTAGGAGACATATCTCCACCTGATCTATTTCTTCCATGCAAAGGCTACATCAGGCCAAGGTCATGCTAATCGGAGGTGCTGAGCATGTTATGATTACCTTTGATGATGGGGTGCATGATTGAGATAGCATCTACAGCGTCTCTGCTATCATGCACCTTCTGCATGGAGGAACTCACCACTTTTGTTTATAACTGATGTCATTTTAAAAACCTAGACAGTTAGTGTCTGCTGATGCTATCTATACTCTAGAGTGAGTCCTTACCTTTTTGCTCACCCTTCTTAGGAACTTTGGCATGCAGATCTTTTGCTTGGCAAAGTGTGATTTCTATAGAATTAGCATTTGTCATTGTCTTGTTTTTTCCTACGAGTATAATTAATGTGGTGTATTACAGGCCAGAAGAAGGTTAGAAGAACTATAAAGAGTTACCACCTGCAAACCTTGATCCCCAGTTTTCAAGGGATCCTGACACAATACAGGAAAGGAGCTACTTGCTTGCTTGCTGCTGTTTGCTGGAATAAGTCAAAATAATCTATAGAGAGGGCTGATCTGTTGCCTGATGCTTTTGCTGGCTGAATTTTGCTAAGCCTGCAATGAATTCCACTGTTTTATAGGTAAAAGCCCATTCCTAGTGGCCCATTCCCAGGTCTCTTCGTTATCCACATGTATTTTGATTTCCTTGTCTGCATTTGTTTCACCCTTTCTCTCTGCACATACTTTTTTTTAAAACCTTCCCAAGTAGCGTCCCAAGGATGCTGAGTTTCTGTAGCAAGTGCCAGGGTGAATGGGCTCAAGCGGGTCTTCTGTTTCCCTGCAGGTGTCGCATGCATTGCCCTGTCCTTTGTGGATTCCTGCAGAAATCCCATTTCACTGGCTCGCTGGGTGAGGCCCTCCACTGTCTTGCTGAGCACTTCATTTCTTCCAGAGGCGGACTTTGAGAGCTTGACTACAGCCAACAAGCATGAGAGTGAACCTGGCAAGTCACAGTCAGGTAGGAAGGCAAGATTTTTGTTTTCCAAAAGAGCTCATGAGCAAAATAATGGGACCAAAATGAAACCAGGTGCACGGTCCAAGTTCAGGGTTCATTTGGGAATTGCCGTAGCTGTTTCTAAGAGGCATTCTCTTGAAGCAAGATTTTTTTTCTTTACAGCTCTCTCTCCTCTAGTTCGCTTTGACATCTGGGAGAAGGGAAACATCAGTGTGTTGCAATTGTCTGAAAGACTGCGCCATGCCCTGCGCCATGCCCTCTGTGATGCCCTCATGGAATTTCATGTGCTCCCCAATCCGTTGTGTGTTGAGACATCCACTGAGCTGGAGGATCCGGATAATACTGGTAAGATCTTTCGGTTTCTCTGTTGCTAAATTCAGCAAAATTATTGCAGCCAAGAAATGGCTCTCAAATGACTGTTCTTAGGAGTCAAGGAATTCATGAATTTAATTCTGTATTATCTAAGTGTTCTTGAGGCTTCAGATAGAGGTCTGCCATTTCTGCAGCTTCACTGAATATAGCAGGGTTTGAGCTTAGGAATAGTCACGTGCAAAGGCACACAGCTTACCATGGTGCTATAGCTCTTTTCCAAGATTTATGGTTGCTTTTTGTGGAGTTCTTTTCTACTGGCATAAAACAATAAGAGAAGTTAAGGTTAAAGCAGTTTCTAAAAGACATAGAAAATCATGTGGCTTAAGACAGTTCTTCCTATGGAGAAGAGTTGTGACTGGAAAAAGAGGGAATTTCTGGTTTGAGTAGTATGGGATTTTCACCAGCTCTAATAGAGACTGTACTTTCAGGAGTCCTGCGCCGAACGATGTCTGAATCAAAAGGACTGACTCAGCATGCCAGAGGCAGAGTATGCCCTCCATCTCTGCCCTTCTCAGTGCCCAGTTTGGGTGAACCTGTCACACCTACAAGCAAGATGGGACGACGGAGCTTTTGGGATAAGCTGGTAACGACTGTGGAAAATAGAGGGGGGAGCTGTTTTGAGTGCGAAGGGGAAGGGTCAAAACTCACAAATCTAAATCGAAGAACTGTTACAACGGAGCGTAAACTTCTAAGAACTTCTTAAGATAGCCAGCACTCTAGCCATAATGTTATTACATTCAGTATTATATTTTTCAACCCCAGACTGTTAAGAGATACATTTCAGCCTAATGTCTCACAGTTCCAGGAACTACTTCGAAATTTACCCCATAAAGCAGAGGTGGGCAACTATGGCAACTGTGGACTTCAACTACTCCATGCTGGCTCAGGAATTCTGGGAGTTGAAGTCTACAGGTTGTAAAGTTGACTTAATTGCCCACTACTTCCATAAAAGATCTCTAGAAAAGGCTTCTGGCCTGATGGCATAATTGTATACCTGTTTCAGGTTAGACCCACAATATGTGTGCCATAGTTGCAGAATAATGTATTATGTGAGGATTAGTAGAATGCTCTTCGATTTTTGAGAAAGACCATATCAAAGCAGAATTTGGCGGTATCGAAGTTGGTCTAATGCAGAAGCTTAAACGGACATGTTTCCCTGTGCTCTTGTCTTAATTGTCAGAGCAAACCAGAGATAGCAGATCAAGGAAGCCCCAAGACTACAGATGACATTGTGTTGGAGCGCCCTGAAGAGAATCGCAGTCGCCGTCGCCATAAGACTGAAAGTGTCAAGCAACACTCAAGCCAGGAACGTGCTGCTTCTGAGCAGGAGCAGAGCCAAAGGCAAGCATGCTAGCTTCCATCCACATCGTCTTCTAGGGACTTGTGGGAGGGGTTCTTTCTTCCAGGCCGAACCCTTCACCTTTTTTTTTTTT